AACACAAATGTTCAACTACAGATGACTGGATGAAGAAATTGTGGTATTGTACACAATGGAATACCACATAGCTAAAAGAATGAACAAAATCGTGCAATTTGCAACAACATGAATAGAACTAGAGGATCTCATGCTGATTGAAGTCAGTCAGAGGGAAAAAGAATTGATACAGACAGATCTCAGGAGTGGGACTTAAAGATATACAGAAAAGTGGTAAAAAAAGGGCCTCACACACAACAAGCCCAAAAGTTGGGCTACACTAGCACGCGACAGGGACAAATGGAGACGTTACTGGCGCCCGCTCGAGCAAATCGACGACTACCGGGAAGTTAAGTGATTAAGTGATTTAAAAAGTTAAAAAAGAAATTCCCTTGGGAAATCATCACTTTAAAGAATTAACTGATCACCCCAGGCACACAGCCTGCAACCCACCCTTTCTAAAACTGTGCTCCATCTTCCCTTTTCTTTTTGGTTTTTGGACCACACCCAGCTGTGCTCAGTAATTACCTGGCAGTGTTGAGGGACCCTATGTGTAAATAGAGATTGAACCTCTGCTGACAGTGTTCGAAACAAGAAATTTTATCTGATACACTATTTTTTCACTGACCCTTCTCAACCCTACACACACTTTTCTTTCTTTTTTTTTTTTTTAATTAGTGAAACACCATGAACTACAGCTGTAGACTTACAAACTTTCCTGCTTGGGTTTCAGTTATACAATGATCGAGTACCCATCCTTCTACCAGTGCCCATTCTCCACCACCAATGATCCCAGTAGCCCTCCCACCTCCCCCCAACCCCACCCTGCCTCTGTGGTAGGGCATTCCCTTTTGCTCACTTTCCTCAAGGGTGTTGTAGTTTGCAATAGAGGTATTGAGCAGCCATTGTGTTCAGGCTATAGTCTGCTTTCAGCATGCATCTGTTCAATACAATTTTCTTTTGAGGATCTGAAAAGACAGCTCAAATCATTGAGAAAATGCTTTGCATGCAGGAGGTCAAGGTTCAACCACAGGCACCCCATGCTTCCTCAAACACTGAGCACAAAGCTAGAAGTGAGCACTCTTTTGAGCACCAGTTGGTGTGGTCCAAATTCCCAAATAAATAAATAAATAAATAAAAATCTCTTCTTGTAACCTTTCAGGCAAAAGAGCTATTTTGAGAACATTGTTGCCCATAAAGTTTGGTGTGAATGAGATGTCCAGTAATCCTGGATTTTCCAGGCGCACCAAAAATTGAATACAAGAAAGAAAAGTTGCCAAGAAGTAACAGTTTATTGAGAGTAGAGACAGGAAGGATGCTTGAATGGGAGGGCCATCAGAGAGAGTACAAAGGGAAGGTTGGTGACTCAGTTTTATAGATTCTCTTCCTAGTAGTCCTAGGTTGGACCACTACTTTATGGCTGATTGTAGTTGCCCGAATGATTTAGGGTATCTTGGGATTTCCAGACTGAATTTTGAGAAAAATGTCAGGTATTTCACTAATCTGTTATGTGGCCCATATTTTACTTTAGAAGTCATGTCTTTAATATTTGAGTGTACGCTCACTTACACTCATGTTCAACCGCTCACCCTGGATCTCTTAATGGCAATAAATGTCTATTTCCTGATGTAGCCTGTCATCCATGCAAAATTCAAGGTTATCATATCTTTTTTTTCTCTTTTTGGGTCACACCCAGCGATGCACAGGGGCTACTCCTGGCTTGCACTCAGGAATTAGCCATGGTGGTGCTCAGGGGACCATATGGGATGCTGGGAATCCAATCTGGGTCGGACGCGTGCAAGTCAAACGCCCTAACCTTTATGCTACTGCTCCAGCCACAAAGGTTATCATATCTTGTTCATTGGCTTTTATCTCTATTAAAAACTCCTGGGTCTGGAGGTGGCTCAAAGGGCTGCAGAGATGCTTTCATTTGGGAGACTATTTGGTTCTATCCTAGCAAGTGGAGGGTAAAAAAGCACAGAGGGGTGTGACCCCCAAACAAAACAGAACAAGTCTAAACCGATATCCTCAAGGTTGCAAGTCCTTGGGGCAGCAAGATTATTGCCTACTGATCTGTCTCAACAAAGAGTTTTTCATCTTTTATACATTCAGACCCACCCCCCGCCGTTGAGATGCAAACCAAACCAATAACTTTTAAGTTTGACCTGTGCTGATTTCTTGACTCTTAAAGATGTTTTAACCTCTGGTTTATTCAACTAAGTAAAATTTTACTGTGACACTTTCTCAGAAGATTTCAGAGAGCCAGAGCGGGGCAGAATTTACTGGGTGTGGCAGTTCTATCTATTAAGATGTGAAGAGATCCTTGCTGGAAATGTACCTCTTTCATTCCAAAAAGTAATCCTTCAGTGTATGAAATGAGGGTGTGGCAATGTAATTTTGAAAAGTTCACTTCAGGGGATTCAAAGAAAAACAAACCCCAAAAAGAATGGAAAAAAAAAGAGAGAGACAGACAGAGGATAAAGGAAGGAAGGAAGGAAGGAAGGAAGGAAGGAAGGAAGGAAGGAAGGAAGGAAGAGAAAGATCCAACCCAACCTTCAACCTTCCTTTTAATCCCGAATTGCTCATGAGACTGAAAAATAGGAAGAAACCTAAGAACTGTACCTCAAGAGATTGAATGCAATTAACAATTAAATGATAGCAGAGGGGAAAATGCCTCTAGGTGAGCCAGGATCTCTTCCCTCCCTCACTGGCTGGTAGGGTGGGTCATTGACTCACCCTTTTCCGGAGTTACAGCCAATCGTGGTCCAGACTGTGTCATGGGCTTATAGCTCTAAGGTGGGTCACTGACTCACCCTTTTCCGGAGTTACAGCCAATCGTGGTCCAGACTGTGTCATGGGTTTATAGCTCTAAGGTGGGTCACTGACTCACCCTTTTCCGGAGTTACAACCAATCGTGGTCCAGACTGTGTCATGGGCTTATAGCTCTCGCATATTTAGTCTCCTGGGATTTTGACTTCAGATCCACCTCTGGACCTGAATCTGAGGTTCCTGCTGCTTCTTGCCGGACAGGGACTGCACCGAACCTTGTTGCAGGTACGCTGTGGTGAGTGTTCTTGGGTGTGCTGAGCTAGCTTCACGTTGATCCCCCTGGGTCTCTCGTGTCTGGGGTGGTTCTTGGGAGCATTAGGTCGGGAAGCTGGGTACCTTAATTAAGCAAGATTTTGATTTGACCCAGAATGTGGGGAGTTGTTATTGAAATGAAACTCAGGCTTAGTGAGGTCTCTTGAAGAGATGGTAGAGGTGCAAACTGGAACATGATTTTGAGTTGGACAGATCTGAGGGTAGGTGTGTTAAGGATGAAAGGAGAGCCAATGTGAACCCACGGCTGGAGTAATAGTACAGTGAGCTGAGTACTATCAGTGAGCAGAGCACACAGTCAACCTTGGTTCCATCACCTGAGCCCCTTTATGGCCTCCCATTTCTGATTATATGGTCAAGAGTAAGCCCTGAGCACAGCAGGATGTGTCCCGAAAACAAGACAATCTGGAGATTTTGGTACACATGGGCTTGAAAAGATTAGTCTAGATGAGGCTGGGAGGCGGGGCGAGGAGGCGGGGCGGGGAGGCGGGACTGGGAGGCGGGGCGGGGCGGGGAGGCGGGACGGGGAGGCGGGGCGAGGGGGGGTTGTGGTGATAGGTAAGAGGGAAGAGTGTGGCACACGAAGTAGCCTCCATGTGGACCTTTGAGATGCCCCTTCCCCCAGTCTCGCATGTTGGCTATGTCCAGGGTCAGTTTATGCTATTATTAATGTTCACAAAAATCTGAGTGATGGTTTCAGCTTGACAGATGAGCAGTCTGTGGTGGGTCCTTTGGGGTGTAAGTTCTCTACCCCAGGCTCTATTTCTTTGCTTCATTCTTTCCTTAAATGCTTTTTAATCATTTTCCCGGGTGAAATAAATGAGCAAGCTGGATGCCATTTGCACTTCAGGCATTTGACAATCTATTATGGGTATGGGAAGGTCCCACCAAAATATACTCTCGGTAGCTTGCCGTGCTCTCCGAGAGGGGTGGAGGAATTGAACCCGGGTCGGCTGCGTTCAAGCCTAATGCCCTACCTACTGTGCTATTGCTCCAGCCCACAACAAAAGAGAATAGTAAGAAAGCAAAAAGGCTTTCTTACTATTGCTTTTGTACTGGCTGGGAAAAATATTTGCATATATACCACAGTTTAATACCCAAGGTATATGAAGAATTTATGCAACTGAAATGTAAAAGAAAATCAAAGATGGGACCAATACGATAGTAGAGTGGGTAGGGTACTTGCCTTGCATGGTGCCAATCTGGATTCTATCCCAACTACCCTGCATCATCCCTGAGTCATTCCTGGGTATCCATATCATAAAAGATATGACAAATACTCTTTTCTTGAATATATCTATCTATCTATCTATCTATCTATATATATATATCAGGTCTGTTAGAGTGCTTTCACATTTTACAATTATTTTTTGTTTGTTTAGGTTTCTGTTTCTGGTTTTGATTTTGGACTACACTGGCAGTGCTCAGTACCTTCTCCTGCCTTTGTGTTCAGAAGCCATTCCTTGCTGTGATCGGGGGACTATCTGTGGTGCCAGAGATTATACCAGGTAAACCAAGTCAGCCTCGTACCAGAAAACCCACTATACTATCACTCTGCCCATGTTTGATTTTTTTTTTTTTTTTGCTTTGGATCACACCCAGAGGTTCTCAGGGCATGCTCCTGGTTCTATGCTCTGGAATCACTCCTGTTGATGATCAGGAGGCCAAATGTGTGGCAGAGGGCCACATCCAGATTGGGACCACACAATTGGTACAGCAGCTGCTGTAGGGTGGGTGTGTTGGGCCATACCCTACCCTTTGTTTCTCTGATTACCACTGGCAGATCCTGAGGAACAGTAGGGTGTGGCCCTGAAAGAAAAAAAAACACAAATTGACCTCTCCTATACAAGCAGCCTTAAATTCAAGTGCTCTAAATCTTGGCTTCTAACTTGGGATTCTATCTTGGAGAAGAGATCATCCTGGCTGGAAAAATGGCACCTCCGAGTTCCCCAGGCCCCAAGGGCTCATCAGCTGCAAGCGTTCCTCAGCCTGAGGAGGAGATGGTGCTGCCTGGCTTCCCGGACATCGACAGCTTCATGAAGTTTGCTCTAAGGTCAGTGGAGGCAGTCATTAAGGCATCTGGGAGCCTGCCAAAGTCTGGCCCAGAATATGATTTTTACCAAAGTTTTCCTGGCTTCCAAGCATTGTGTGAGACTCAAGGAGACAGAATACTTGAGGGCATGAGCAGAATGATGCAGTACTACGTGTGTCAGAGCAACATCAAGGATTGCAGGAAAGTGACGGACTTGGAAGACAATTTTGATTTATTGGTTGACGCCAATGATGCTATTCTGGATGGAGTGGACATTTTACTGGATGAAGCTTCAGGCATGAAGAAGCATCAGCAGCCTGTCCTCCCCATAGGATCACAAGCCCGCCAAATGATCGTGTCCAGCTGGAACCGGAAAGTAGGAGAATCTGGCAAAAAAACAAAATCTGAACCCTTCCGGCTGCTTCACGTGAAGAACATCATCCGACCGCAGCTTAAATTCCGAGAGAAGATCGACAATTCCAACACCCCATTTGTTCCGAAGATCTTCATCAAGCCCAACGCCCTGAAACCTCTCCCTCGGGCGCTGTCTAAGGAGAGTCGGGAGCACACCAAGAACCAATCAGAGGACCCGGATGTGCCACCGGCCCTGGTCCACTTCCTCCACCAGCAGCGGACACAGCAGGTAGAGCAGGACGTGTTCGCACACCCCTATCAGTACGAACTGGATCACTTTACGCCCCCAGAGTGGGCGCTTCAGAAACCGCAGCCCCAAGCCTACAAGCCCCTGGAGGACACTGCCTGCCACTTGGTGACCTCGCTGGACCAACTCGTGCAACTCAACGCGACGCTCCTGGCCTGTTGGGAATTTGCGGTGGACTTGGAGCATCACTTTTACCGCAGCTTCCTGGGCCTGACCTGCCTGATGCAGATTTCCACGCGCACCGAAGACTTCATCATCGACACGCTGGAGCTGCGCAGCGACATGCACCTCCTCAACGAGAGCTTCACAGACCCTGCCATCGTGAAGGTCTTCCACGGCGCTAACTCCGACATAGAATGGCTGCAGAAGGACTTCGGGCTGTACGTGGTGAACATGTTCGACATGCAGCAGGCAGCGCGCCTTCTTCGGCTGGGCCAGCACTCCCTGGACCACTTGCTGAAACGCTACTGCAACGTGCAGGTGAACAAGCAGTATCAGCTGGCCGACTGGAGGGTGCGCCCTTTGCCGGAGGAAATGCTCCACTATGCCCGCGAGGACACCCACTACCTGCTCTACATCTACGACTGCATGAGGCTGGAGCTGTGGGCTGCTGCCAGCGAGCAGCCCTCGAAGGCCCGGGTGGTGTGGCAGCGCAGTAGGGACATCCGCCTCCGGAAGTTCGCCAAACCCCTCTTCACGGATGAGTCCTACCTGAAGCTGTATGAGAAGCTGAAGACGCCTCTTAATACGCAGCAGCTGACAGCCTTCCGGCTGCTGTTCGCCTGGAGGGATCACCTGGCAAGGAGGGAGGATGAGAGTTGCTGCTATGTCTTGCCCAACCGCATGATGCTGAAGATCTCAGAAGAGCTGCCCGAGGAGCCCCAGGGCATCATTGCCTGCTGCACCCCCGTCCAGCCTCTGGTATGGCAACAACTTAACGAGCTGCACCTTCTCATCCAGAAGGCGCGAGGAACCCCTCTGTGCCAGTCGGAAGTTGCCACCGGACTGAGGAGGATACAGTTTGATACACGGCCCGTTTTTTGATACACACCCAGGATCCACCTCTCACCTGCTTCTCCATCATTTGGCCATGGAACCCTGTCCCACTCTTCTCTAGAGGAAAAACTCCTGTTTTTTGCACAAGCCAGGGGTTACTCCTGGCTCTGTACTCAGGAATTGCTCCTGGAGGTGCTCTGGAGAACATATGGGATGCTGGGAATCAAACCCAGTTGTGTCTTGTGCAAAACAAATGGTCTTACCCACTGTAGGGCCCCCAGGGGCTCTTGTTAGCAGTGGCCCCAACCCTCTCTATCACCTCCCTCCTGTCTCTCCCTGTGAGGTGCTGTTCCTCTAGCCATGCAATTGTTATTCAGGATCTGCATTTCACTCAGCATTTAGTTGAAAACGTGGGAATGAGAACCCAGTAACTTTCTCCATCCTTTGCATTGCTGGTATCCCCTGGTAGTCTTACCCCCTGATAGTCTTACTTAAAGCACAGTCACTCTTCGAAGAAATTCAGTAATTTTACTGAAGAACATGTTAGATGGGGCCAGTGCTCAGTCCAGCTTGCTCTTTGGACCCACAGCACTGACTATTGCTCACAGGAGCTGGGCTGGGAGATGGCTGCTCTCAGCAGTCTACGGTAGGCCTAGAAGCACGGAATCAGGTCATTTACTGCCCAGCAAAGGGAAACTTAAATGAAGGGGATTGGGTTTCTCCAAATAAATTTATAAATTTGATGTATTTTTAAGAGATGTTAAAAGGTCTGAGCATGTTACTAACATTTACGTATAAAAATAGAAGTTCTGTAAAAAGAAAAACTAATTCTGGGTAAAAATAATTGTACAAGCACCATTAGGATTCCTTTTAGTAAGAATATACAGACAAGATGTGTTTTCCTTACCAGAGCGGTACTAAGACTGGTTATTGCATTTGGGGATGCAGTGGGGGAGGTTACACCCAGAGTGCTCAGGGTTTACTCCTGACTGTATTCAGGGATACTCTTGGTGGTGTTCCAGGGACCATATGTGATGCCAGTGAGTAAACCTTGGTCATTTACATATAAAACAAACACCTTAAATGCCTTACAACTGCTTCAGCCCAACTACATGTTCTTAATGGTCCAGGAATACAGAAATAAAACACTGTAATGAAGTATAGTATAAAAAAAGCCATACAGGTTATGTGGTTCTATCTCCTCTTCTAATCGCATACATTCTCTGATTCTTTCTGAACATCTTCATTAGAGGTCGCTCCTCATTTCATGCTTCCTTTCCATTATTTATCATCTCAGTACACAGTATAATCATATATACATATGTATGTATATGTATAAGTGTGTGTGTCTACACGTGTGTGTGTGTGTTTGTGTATATGTGTTTTGCTTTATGAGTTGCGTTCAGCTCAGCACTAGGGATAGCAAGCCTGGAATCAAACACAGGCCTCACACACTCAGAGCAAGTGCTCTTCCAAATGAACTACATCCCAACACTTATTTTAATTTTTCTTTGCTTTGTTTACTTGGGGGACTTGGAGTTCCTCAAGAGTCTCTCCTGTAGTGATGGGGGAGTCTGTTTTAGGGTATACACCCTGGCCACCTGCATAGCCCCTTCCCCCGGCTCCTGAATCATCAGTTTCAGAAGCAAATCGGATTATTTTCATTTTCTGTGTAAAACCCTCATGGGTGCTTTGTACACACAGCTCCAATTTTATTGAGCCTGGACAGAAATTTTATAAAAGAGTTGAACTGTTTTGAAGTTCCAGCTATTTTAACAAATACCACTGCTCCTAACACTAGACAATGTTTCCTATGGCCAGTCTTCAATGGTGAGATGGCATTCCAGAGCACCCCTCTGTCCCCCAATTTAATAGATTGAAAAAAGCTAATGATATACCACGAGGCTCTCCACACAACAGAAATACAAATTTCTGAGCAGACATATAGTGACTACCCTCAGCAGTAATCTGGTGATATCACTAACTCATCACAAATTTCCCTCCTAATAATAATGAAAATTAAAGAGTCTCCTCAGATCTATTTAGAAAGGATTGTGAGAACAGTTGCACACTTTCTAGGGAAATATGTGTGCAGACTCTTTTACATAACTTAAAAATATGAAGGGAAAACTTGGGTGAAGGAAAAAGTCACAGCTATGTATAATATGACACAGGATTTTTTTTTCTTTTTGGGTCACACCCAGCGATGCTAGGGGTTACTCCTGGCTTATGCACTCAAGAACTGCTCCTGGCGGTGCTCGGGGGACCATATGGGATGCTGGGAATCGAACTTGTGTTGTCCATGTTGGCTGCGTGCAAAGCAAATGCCCTACCTTCTGTGCTATCACTCCAGCCCCGACACAGGCTTTTAATGCACATCCTGTGGTGATGTTGGGGGAAAGGGGGGCATCGTTGGTGTTTGTGGAACCACATGATGGAAAGAGCATATAAAATATGTGCCTGTCCTTTTTCTCATGCCCGTATAGTAGTTTTGAAAATGTGAAAGTATAATGAAGTGAAATTGTAGGATATGGGAACTGGGAACTTTGAAATAGTTTATTTAGAGTTTTTCTTCTCAGCTTAAGTACATGATGAACTCAGACAGTCTCTCACCCTGTTCGTTCCATTCTAGGCCATGGGTCCCAATGTGAAGTTCTTCAGCTGATCTTCTCGGTCCTATCTTGGCATTAAAATCACCCACAATGATCTTTTATTAGGTGTGGTATTCTTTATAGAACTTCTCTAGCTCCATGTAGAACTTCTCAATGGATGCATCTGATGCTAGCGTACGTGCATTGAAAGTACAGACGATCATTTTTGGAAAGGTAGGACTACAGCTGAATCTTACGAAGACAATGTACTCGGGAGTGACCCCTAGCTGCAATTTGAAGAACCGTAAGTGGTTCTGGGCAATTAAACCAGGGTCAGCAGGATGCAAGACGAGCATTTGAACTTTGATCTCTCAGGAGGAAACTTTTATATGTTAAAGAAAAAAATAATGTCCAGGAAGTATGACAGACTCTGAGAAGGGCTAAGGTTGAAGCGGGTAGGTCATTTGCCTTGCACGCGGCTGATCCGGTTTCAATTCTGAACACCTCATATGGTCCCCAGGGTCCACTAGGAATGATCCCTGAGCATAGAATCAGGAGCTAAGTCTTGAGCTCTGCCAGATGTGGTGCGAAAGACAAATAAAAAAATGGTGGCATCATCACTGAGCTGTGGAGGCGAATCAGTGCTATTTTTGAAAAAACACATACATTAGCTGACAGTCGGGAACAATTTTAACATGTTAGAGAAAAAATGATGTCACTACAGAATCTAAGGAGAAAATGATATACTAGGTTCCCATCCCTGGAGAGAGAATGACCAGTCAGTTTAGGTCTAAGTTTAGTATGTCCATTTCTTTTTGTTCTATTTTATTGTGATCCCTTTCTATAAGGATTACCCGTTGACCCTTACCTGCCCTTCCCACACCCGAGGATGGAGGAGGTGTCGGCAGTCCTGGCCAAAATGCATCCAGAGCTCATCTGTCCCGTCTGCCTGGACTACCTCGATAACCCCATCACCATTGACTGCAGCCACAACTTCTGCGCCTCCTGCATCCGCACATCATGGAAGGACCTGCAGGACAGATTCCCTTGTCCCGTGTGCCGGCGGGCCCTCCAGGAGATGCGCGTCAGTGGCAACGCCCAGCTGGGCAGGCTGGTGGACCTGGTCAAGCTCCTGCACAGCTCTGGGAGCAGAGAGATGGCGCAGGCAGAGGAACACAGGTGTGAGGAGCACAGGCAGGTGGTGAGCCTCTTCTGTGAAGATTACCAGGAGCCGGTGTGTCCCCTGTGCCCCCAGGGCCCTGTCCACCAGGGACCCAACATCAGGCCCGGGGAGGAGGTTGCACATCAGTACAGACAGAGGCTCGGCGGCTTCATCGAGTCCCTGAAGTCACAGCGGGCAACGGTGGAGAAGCTCTTAGTCATCCAAGAGAAAAAGCTCCTGCAGCTGAGAGAGGAGGTAAGAATGCATAACAGTCAGTTGGCCTCAGAATTTGAGCAGCTCACCCAGTTTGTGGAGCGTGAACAAGAGGCGGCACTCTGCAGGCTGGCCAAAGAGGACAAACGCCTGCAGCAGCAGCTCAGGGCCAACCTGGAGGCCTACTGGGACCACATCTGGGCGCTGAAAGACCTCAGACGGGAGGTGGCCGAGTGGAGCGTGATGTCCAAGGAGATGGTGCTGATGGGCGTGAGGGGCCTGCAGAAACGCTGGGCGGGCCTGCAGTCCCCAGTCATGCAGCCCCTGCTCTTCAGGCCGGTGGCCTACAGCCTCCCTCCTCTGTGCTCGGCGCTCAGCAGCATCATCTGGAGATTCCGAGAGCGCATCAGCATGGACCCCTACATGGCACACCCCAGCCTGCGCGTGTTCCAGGACCTCATGTCAGTGACCTGCGTGAGGGAGAGGCCCAAAGGGGATGGGAACACCGGCCCTGGGACTACACTGCCCCGTTGGTGGTCCTGGGCCGGGAGGGCTTCGCCTCTGGCCGCCACTACTGGGCGGTGCAGGTGGGCGCCAAGCCCAAGTGGGCCGTGGGCGTGTGCAGTGTCGCGCCTTCCGCCCAGGCCACCGGTCCCCTGGCATCTCCCAAGAGATGCTGGACGCTGCAGCTGCAGGATGGAGACTACCTGGCCCTGGGAGCGGGGCCCGTGCCTCTGGCTCTCAGGGACCAGCCCGCGGCCATCGGCGTTTACCTGGACTGGGAGCTGGGACAGCTTTCCTTCTACAACGCCGCCGACAGGTCTCACCTGCACTCCTTCACAGAGCCCTTTGCTCAAGAGCTCAAGCCCTACTTCCTCCTGAGGCCCGACTGTGCCCCTCTCTCCGTGGGTGTGGGGAGAGTTTAAAGGAAGGATAATCCCTTGTGTTTATTTTCCCACTCTAAGTGGAAAACTGTTGATGTAAACATGATGAAACGGATGCCTAGATATTCATATTTAGGGACAATGAAGGAGAAACGTTCTCTTTTGTAATAAGTCGTATATAGAAATAATTGTACCATT